GGGAGGCGGATCAGGAGATAGAAAAAGAGGATGCACCAGTGACAAGTACATCCTGTGACAAGGGGCATGGGGAGGGGGGGGGGGGGAACTTTCCCACTGCTCTTCTTGTTCTCTCCCTTTATCATTCCCACACTTTCTACCTTACCGTTCATGATCTCCAGCCCCTTACACTTTGCCAAACTTGGCCAGGACAACCTAAAATAAAGTCTTTTCTCCTCCCCATCCTCCTTTCGTTATCCCCTCCCTCTCTTCTTCCGCCTACTTGTGCTATTTCATGATCTGTTTGCCAAGGGGGAAGTTCATTAACCCTTCTCACTGCGCCTCCCTCCTTCCTGCCTCATTCATCTCACCCCCATGATCTTCATTCCCGTCTTTCGCTCTGCCATGTGAGAAGCTATTGTCATGATTGACGTGTGAGGGGCACATCCTCCTCCTCCTGTCATTACCACCATATTCATCAGCTTCAATAATCTGTTTTTCAAGGGGGGAAATAAATTGATTGAATGAAATAATCTACACGTAAGTCGTTATTCTTCCCCGCTCCTCCTCCCTTGTGTTCCACCCTCCCTCCAGGCCTCAAATTCTGCCCACCTTGCCTGTATGATCTATGCATTGGATTTCATTCTCCTCCTCCTTTACCCTCCTCCATCCTCTTCCGCCATGACCTGCTAACGTTATTGGTTTGCTCGATCGGAGTCATGATCAGTTTACTAATACAAATGTGTGTCATTCAGACAAAAGGGCTTACCTTGTTCCCACAACGATTTCAGAAAGCACCCATCTTCCATGCCAGCTTCAACGATTTATTTACGCTGGAAAAGAAAAGTCAAGCAATCGAGTGGGACTTGCTACTTCTCTTCACCCCTCCTACTTGCTCACTCTCTGCTTCTCCGCATTGTCTATCACATTTCTGCCCCCCCTCATCTTCCACCCTTACATCTCTAATACTATAAAGCAAATAGAGGGTCTCGCGTGACGGTCCCACGCGAGCACCCGTTGGCAGTGTTGGGAAAAGTCGAGACGGGCCCAGGGCCCATGGTAGGAGCAGCCGGCGAAACGGCGCCGCGGCCAAACGGGTCGGGAGCGGGCGGCGAATTGACGAGCGAGGTGTGCCGCGGCCAAACGCGTTGGGAACGGGCGCCATCCGAATTGTCAGATGCGGTAATGCGGTGGATGAATCGGTGCGGCGCCCAGGTCTGTATTCATTAGCGTGAGAGGGGCGCTCGGATGTGAGTGTCGGGCGGGTGGGCAGCGCGCGGGCGGCAGATGGGAACGGGCGGAGAAAGAGCGAGCGTCCGGTCGGGAATGGGCGGGTGGCGGCAGAGGAGTTGTGCACGCGGGTGGGAAACTCTCTCTCTCTCTCTCTCTCTCTCTCTCTCTCTCTCTCTCTCTCTCTCTCTCTCTCTCTCTCTCTCTCTCTCTC